TAAGTTTCCGCTTCAGACATTAGAACTCTCTGTTATTTTGAGTTGCAAATGTTCCGCAATGTGTAGAACCAACCTTATGTAATCCTAAACTAATATGATATAAGACTTGAACTTTCGTTATCCAATAATCTCTCTTACACTCATTCAACTAGTCCAATTACCAGAATATTTTATACCTCGATTCTTTAACAAATACTGCGTACATTTTCAGTGGATAGATAAGTTCAATGATACGTATATTATCATCGACATGTTCCTCTCTCTTTAGATTTTCAGTATTAGGCAATAACAAGAAACTATTCAGCTTTTCGTTACAACCATTAGGGTACAATAATCAGGTGAACGTATATAAGTAGTATTCGTGTTAACACTAGACTGAACTGAAAATGTCAACCTCTACACACACTTGCAATATGGAGGCAATATAATCTTCATTTTTGGTTGATTTTTATTAACTTTAACGAGTTAGAATTTATTGGTTTCTAAAGACGCTATTTTTTTTTTTAAAAAACACTAACTGAACATTTATTAGTTCACACATTAATTTAAACAAATTGTTTTTGATCAAATTTCAATTTTTTTTAAGAAAAAAAAAACCCGCGCGTTATTCAGACTAAATTTAATTTATTTATTTATAACTTGATTTATATATTTGACTAGAGATTTTCTTTATTTTAAAAAAAAAGTACGTTTATGTTTGAATCTAAAAAATGAATAGAATTTTTTTTTAAAAAAAATAAGGAAAGTCAACGTTTACTAAAACAAAATACATTCTGATAATCACATAAGCTACATGTACTATGCTATTTTTATGTACAATGAAATAACTAATCAATCAATCAATCATTGATAGACACTAACATTAGAAACCTGGATGCACTGGATGTTTGCGTGTTTCTGACATGGGATTCATCAGCAGTGCGCATCCACGACTTCTGCTCCTCGCAGAATTCGAATCCAGGTCCTTCGGCCTAGCGCACGAACGCCCAACCAGTGAACTAATGGTGTTAATGTCTAACTCTGACCAACTGAATGATTTTGCGTGACCTCACTAGATTGATGAGAGTTAGAACGCTAACATCCTTGGATGCCAGCCCGGTGGTTCAAAAGTTAGACAAACACAAATGGAGGAAGTTAAGCAAAATCCATAGGTTGATCATCTCTAGATTCCGACTAAGTGGTCCAGCGTTTAGGTGTTTGCTCACAAGACCGAAGATCCTCGGTTCGAATCCTGTGAGTAGAAGGAGTGGTGGATGCGCGCAGCTGATAAGTCCAGATGAAACGGCTGTCTTTCGGTTTTTCCAGGTTGCTAATCTTCGGGTCTAACAATGATTAACTGACGATTTTGATGTGCAAAATCATTGATCTCCATTACTCTACTTGACAAAACCATTTTTATTTATCATGAAAATTCTATAATAACATGTATTTCTTGATAGGGATTGTAGAATTTTGTTGAAATTAAATAACAGTTAAAATATAATTAGTAACCATGAAGACATTGTCAAATCTTTTATCCTTGGGTAAAACTCATGAGCAGTCTACATAAACCGATCAATCAATAATGGAACCTAAAAGCTTTGGTGAGATGCCGTGATGAGGAGAGTGCCAAACATACTTGACTATCAATATCTTACTAGTACTTAGTTGTGTAATATAATGATGTGCCTGAAATCAGAAATGTAAACAGCTGGATATTGTTAAATAGTCTAATCGTTGAGAACTCTTTCTGATACCTGAATGTTTCAATTTTATCCGTTTGAAAGTCATGGATTCATACTGCTGGTGTGTTTGATAGAAAGGAATCGCTTCTCAGTGTCCCCTATAGTTGTCAATGACTAAGTAACTATGTTCCAATCAGTAAACTGCTAAATATATACACCTGGGGAATTTTCTAAAGAAACAATCTTAACGCAGAGTTACATCACAAGAGTACTGAATCAGTATAATGAGAGAATTATTATTCTGAATATTTTGTAAAATCTCAACAACTTTCATGTTATTGACATGTTCTTTTCGAAGAAAACCAGTTTATCTTTCAAACAAAAAAATATCCCGCTCTATCAACCAATTTACAAAAATATTATTTAACAACCTGATCGGTCGCCTTCGGAAGAAAACAGTCAACTCCAATGCAAAGCAAATGAAATTTACAAAGACAGGCAGTCATCAACTCCGTGTGTAGCTTCTCTAAGGTTACTGCCAGTCACAAGCCCGGAAAAAGGAGGATTGAGCATGGGATTAGAAACCCTATCCCGTAGAAAAATAACACGTGAAGAAAATGTTAACCAGAAAAACCAGTTCAAACCATTTGAACTCTTCTCTGGGATTTAGAAAGTCTTCAATAAGAAGAGTTATGACGTCTCATGATGAATGCGAAGTTCCTTCAGAAGTCACGAGGCCGATACCGCCTCTGACAACCAGAGCAACCATTACTTTGGGAACATAATCATATTGAATGCAGCTGTGAGATTTGAACTTCACAGGTGATATAGCTCTTCTCTTCCACAGGTAACAACAAATTTAGGAGAAGACGACTACTGTAACACCAACCTCAGCAGTAGTAATTCCCAACATACAACACAACAGACACAAATCAAGTCACACTTGACGGTGAAGCTATAGAAGATGTAAAAACCTTTATACATCTGGGCAGTAAAATTGATGAGCACGGTGTGGATATGATGTAGATGTGAAGGTGCGAATCAGCAAAACAGAGACGGTATTTCTACAGTTGAAGAACATCTAGACCGAAGGAAAATTAGGACATCAAAGAACAAATCAGGCTGAGATTCTGAGACAGAAATGAGAAGAATGGACAATATAATTGAACAGAAGTCGAAACAAAGGCCCAAGATAGAGTGGGATTGGAGAATGCTGGTTAGCGCCCTATGCTTTAATTGATTTGACAGGCGTCAGCAAGTAATTATGTAAGTAATCTCATGGAATTCAACGCCATTACAATGCGAGGAAATTCAACGTGTGATAAATACTCAAAAAATCACAGTAAATTCACCAAACATCTCAAAAATCCTGTTTAACACAGTGGATAACTTTTCAGTTAGAATAGATTTTCGAAAAGTATTTTGACTGAATCATTAAAAACAAATACATTTTTACAAAAACAACATGTTCATCAAACTCAGTACGAAAAAAATAGACAGATTGATGATTTCAAATGTGTAAAAAAACACTAATCTCCATAACTCTAATTGGAAAATCCTAAAATGCGTTTACTAGTGACTAGCTTCGTGAGGAAATTCTCGGAGTTCTTTTGAAAAGACATGATCAGTGGAGTTCAACCCTGTCGGCTGAAGGCAGTAACTACCAAAGTAAAAATGGGTGAGGTCGCGAGAAATCCCTAGATCAATCATAGTTAGACATTAACACTGTTGGATTCCAGACTAGTGGTTCATATATTAGGCATTCGCGCGTAAGACCGAAGGTCGTGGGTTCGAATCCCACGGGGTGCAGGATTCGTGGGTACGCACTGCTGATGAGTCCCATACCAGGTGTAGTCTAACAGTGATTGAATGATGATTTCAAATGAGTAGATAAGCATAAGTTAATAGTTTATAACAAAAAGCGTATCATTAACAATAAATTTTTCCCAAACAGTATCACATCATTTTACCCAATCCACGAATGCTAATCTCCATATAAAAAGAAACTTGCCTACTGGCTTTCAGTATTAGCCGAAAATTCATTTACTCTATTGTAAAAACGTGTGAAGTATGGCAATGCCTGAGTGATCATCATAGAATACGCATAAAGCAATAATAACAGATTAAAAGTTTCTTACTAATGACTCAATAAATCTCAGTTCATTTCGTATAATGTAAGAGCCTGTGGTTTATCTGTGTACGCTCTTAAATGAAATCGACTTCATGATCCACAGACATGATCAGTCAATTAAGAGGGTCTTGAAACAATGAATTTAAATATTTACATGATTTCAATTTGTAATATGATTGAAAATTGAATGAAGTGAAAATTAAAGTCAACCCCTTTGTTCCTTATAATCTATATTGTACTCATGACCAAGGAAAATATTAGACGGATAACTAACTAACTTATAGACTGATTTGATTTATTTCGCCATCTTAGGTAGCTTATATAATCAAACACGTTTTATTATCAGTCATTGACTGATATGACTTTTCACTTGCTATAAACTTGATTATTGAACACACCTATAAAATAACCAACTAAATAACTAACGTTCTACTTAAACACTTGAAATTTTTTTCTGATAAAAATTTTTTTCAATCACGTAAATTATCGGAAAAAAAGGGTTGTTCAATGGTTCACTTCAGTAAAATCATTTATTATTGATCAGTCAGCAATTGGTTTATCAAATTAAACTTTTCAAAATGATAATCTTTTTCATTTTCGGACTTTTAATGAGAAGACGTGACCAGTGGAGTACAACCCCTGTCACGTTTACGCTGTGACAACCGAACACAAATGGATGAGGTCGTGCAAAATCCCTAGATTGATCAAAGTTAGACATTACCACCGCTAGATTCCGACTAAGCGGCATAGAGTTTAGGAGTTCGAATCCTGTGGGTAGCACAAATTGTGGATGCGCAGTGCTAGTGAGTCCCACACTAGGACGTAACGGCCGTCTTTCAGTGCTTGTAGGTTTCTAGTGCTGTGGTCTAACAATCATGGATTCATGATTTGATTGATCTACATTTCTGTTTTTTCAATTCAGATAAACAATATTGAACACATTAATATGAGAACTACAAACAGTTTCATCTAATAATATTATTTTTTTCCTCTAGAAAAACAAATAGAATATACAAAATACACTGAAACATTGAACAGTGAACTGATTGCTCACCTTACATATTATTACACCACTGTATATACATGGATCTATCTTTCTTCCACAGTTGTGTTACACACACACACAATAGATGAGTAAAAATAGAAAGAAGCAGAATATTACTTAATTACTAAAAAAGTAGTTTTTTTTAAATTTGTACATTAACTGAAGAATGAAACTAGTCTTCAATAAAAAGGTGTATTTTGTCATTCATGAAGAGGTATTTGCAGGTGTTGTTAATACACAAGGTGTTGTATATGTAGTATAGTATGTCTTGGAATGTGTTACATCTTCGAATTTCATCCCTATGTCATCATGATCATAAAGTTTTTGTTCAAGAGTATCAATGGTATCTTTAGTTGGTTCTTCTGTAACCATTGGTAACACGCCATGTTTAATATCATCGGTTGAAACAACTGTTGCAACAATTGTTAAAGGTTGCGTTGACAACTGATTGGTATTACAGCCATGTTCAATAGTAGTAACATTAGGATCATGAGTCATACACAATGGTACAGCAAATGTATCATTTGACACCTGTAATAATTGCAAAGGAATTTGATCAGATAAAAAATCAATCATGGAAGGAATTGGTGAATAGTGGAATTCATTCGAATCACCAATCAAACTCATTGGTAAATAAGTTTGAATCATTGCTGTGTTTAAATCATCTTCCGATTGATTCGGTTCAATGAATTGTTTTGATAGTTGTTCATTATAGATTGAATAATTTAATGGTTTCACATCTGTCATTGTTGTTGATTGTGAATCGATCAATGTTTCAAGAGTGAAATTTGAATCTTGAACAAGTTGTCCAGTATTATGATTATTATTACTGTTATCTTTACAATAATTATTATTCAATAATTTTATTGGTAAATTCTCATTATCCTTAGGCATACTACATTCATGTGTATTGATTTGTTTTACTGAATCAACAAATTTCACATTGTTATGACAACGTGCACGATATTTAAAACAAATTATACATACAATTAAACATATCATAATAATTATGATACTAATAATTGAACCACTAATTAATAATAATAAAGTTTTCATATTTTTTCTAGTTACCGTTGTATATACACTGCTAGTAGTGAAATGTGTTCTTTTTGGTAGAATCTCATAAAAATTTCCTAAGGAATGTATTTGTGATGGAATATCTTGAATGTGTTTATTCTTTTCATAATGACTTGTTAATAATTGAGGATTATTTAGATTTAAAAAGTTATGATTATGATGATTATTTGTAAGAGTATTAGCTAAATATAGTACTAATTTTGCAATCGACTGTCTAACAATGTGACCATTATCCGCAGCTTTTAACCAGATATCTAGAAATCCGTCTGGTAGTACTACTAATGAATGTTTCACAGTTAATTCACCTGATTCAGAGTTTAAATTAAAAAATTCTGATATAATAGTACGTGAAATCAAATCAAATTTGGATTGATTCATTGTGGTTTGATTGTTAGGCGTGTAAACGAAATAATTGACAAGACCATTTTTAGTCGGTTCATCTGAATCCGTTGCACGAATTCGTGTAATCACTGTACCAATCGATAAAGTTTTCGGTACAAATACTAAAAAATCTCGAGATGTTGGAAATTGCCATTCAGGACTATGATCATTGATATCTTGTAGTTGAATTTGAATTTTTGTCAATGATGTCAGCCTAGGTTCACCAAGATCATGTACACCAATGATTAAATCCACTGCTGGAATTTGTTCACGATCAATTTTTCCTTCACACCATAAAGCACCATTGGAATCAATCAATAGTTTTGGCACTGTCAATGCATGTGTTGTTTGGTTGACAAGTAGTTGATTCGATATTTCCGCGATGAAATAAACCATTTCAGCATTTTTCCCTGTGTCACGATCAAATGCTCGTACATTACCAATCGGTTGTGTATAAAATGTTTCTTCTTGTAATTCAATAATTTGTAAATGATTCCCAGTTTGCAGAGGTTCTCGTATTGTGGAACTTGCATCGAATTGTAATAAATCACTTAATGGCGCTGAAGTTCTCGTTGTCGTCATCATGATAAAATCCGGTGGGTTGTCATTTAAATCTTCAATGAAAATATTAATCTGTACTGTTGTAACAAGTGATGAATGTTTGGACTGTGTAACATCACTGATACGAATATACATTTGATATGTATTCTGGTATTCATAATCAATTTCACTGTGACTACTTATCATCCCACTATATTGATCAATGATAAACGGTACAGTTGATTGAGTATTTTGTTGTATAAATTGTAGTTTTGCTGTAATATCTTGATCCGAAGCAATTAATTTAACAATTTCCGAATGAATTGGTATATTTTCTGGTAAACTGATATCATAACTATACGAATTCATAGTGAACTCTTTCAATTTTAACGATCTACAATACACAGATGCATTGATCAATTCCACAGTAGGATAAAATTCATCTATATCAATCACAGCAATCAAAATAGGAATCGAAGTAGTGAATTGAGGTTGTCCTTGATCAGAACATTGTAGCATCAAGCCTAAATAACCAGCAATATTGTCAAATTGAACATTGAACCGAGTATCTTCTTTCACTAATAAATATTCATTTAATTTTTCTGCATTTATTGATTGTGATAAAATTAATTTATTTATGATAGTATTTTTACTAATACGATTTAAATGAATTAATTCAAATCTATTCACCATTAAATGTTCATTATTTTCTTGATGATCAATATTCAATTTATACGTAAATGGTTTATTTTGTTTAGAACGAGTTAAATTACACTGAATTTCGGCATTGTTCAATTCATCTTCATCAGTTATTTTGAAATAAACAATAGGTGTATTAATTGACAATGTTTCATTAATTTTTAAAATTAATAATTTAGAATAATTATTTGTTTTTTCAATATATTTAAACTGATTAATAATAGAATAATTGATAAAATATAATGCTGTATCTTGTGTGTGTTGTATTTCTATGCGAGGTGCATGATTATTCACATCGAGTATTTCAATGTGTACATGAGCAATATTGAATTTCGAATGATTTTTCGCATTTTGCAAAAATGAATCTACATTTAAAGAGTTTGGCAATGAATAATAATAATAATCTTGATCAAAAGCTTCTACAGAAAATCGATATTTACCTGGTTTCGATATTGGCTTAGCTAATTTAATCATCCCACTATTCACATCAATATGAAATAAATTTTCATTATTTAACCTCATCATCTCATGACTAGGTATTAAACGATACTGAATATGATTATACGGTGCAGAATCATTATCTTTAGCAGAAATTTGTAAAATATCACTACCAACTGGTAATGTTTCTGCTATAGTTATTGAATAGTTGGTTTGTTCAAACCATGGTAATTCATCATTGATATTATTCACATGAATTTCTAGTAGTTTCGATGAACAATGAATACGATTCGATTGAATATTGAATTGTTGTTGTTCTAAAGAATTATCACATACAGTTAAATTAAATTTATATTCAGATTGTTTTTCATAATCCAGTGTATTAGTTAAAACAAGATACAAATTGTTTGAATGTGGCGTTTCATTAAAATTGAACGCTACATCTTGATGATGATGCTGATGATCTATACGAAATGGTGTTTGAACATTGAACGAATTTATTGACAATTGATCAACATTTTGTTCAACGTTTGGCATTGATGTTAAATAATAATATAATTTATTATATCCATTAAAATCCGGATCATAGGCTGGTTTCAAAGGGATTCTAGTTAATTCAGGTAATGCGGTTTCATTGATGAAAATGATTTGTGTACTGTTTAAATGGTTTTCATTTAAAAATACTGGTGAATTATCATTGATATCCTCGATTTGTATCATAATTGATAACAATAAACGATTATTAATTGAAACTAACACATGAATTGTACAGTAATGTGTGACCTTGTTCAATGTTGACAGTATAAGTTTAGAATTTTTATTTTTTATACATATTTTCTCACTATCTAATAATTGTTTTGCTTCTAGTGTAGTATACAAATCTCCCGTGCGACGATCAATACGAAAACATTTTGACCATGGTGAATCAAATGTCTCCAGTCGTATACTACGTATAAGATTTCTGTCGGACAATTGACTAGCACTGAAAATATTTCCCAGTAAAGTATTCAATTCTGGATGTTCTTTTGTTTGAAAAGTAATTTCTTGCATGGAATTTTGCATTGTTTTAATAAACGACATTGAATTCAATAGGAGAAATAAATTTATCAACAAGAAATACAAAAAGAATAATGATTGCATAAGGTGTATAACATAAATTCTTTAATAGTATTCATGACATTAGAATAAATAAGCAAGTAAATAAGTAGTATTGCTTCATATATGAAAAAATAATTTATGAGTAATTATAAGTAGTATATGAGTAGTATATATATATATATGGTATGTGTATATATCCAGACATGTAGAAGAAAAAGATATTCCAAATAATTTTTCAAATGTTCAACTCTTTTTATCATGCATCCTAAATAGATGAATAATATTCTACTAATTGAAGTAACAACAACAACAACCAATTAGCGACGATTTACATGGTTGCTTAATTCTGATTGGACAATAGGTAATGGATCAATAAATGAACAAGTTTCGATGACGATCACAGCAAAAACGATCTCTGCAATCTGTGTGTACGTACACACAATTTGAAAACATGAGATTTACACAGTGAATTCAAGTAATGAACATGGTTCAATTAAATTTTTAACAAAAAAAAAACACATGGCGTATTGTTTAATTTAGTTGAAAAAAAAGCAAATTTTGTAAATATCATTACGGTTTATTTATGAATAAACGAAGTGAATTTACTAAATTGTGATAATAGTTTTTGAGGAATTTTTTAAAAGCTTACGTTTGTACAATGTGAGGTAAGGGAAATCACCTCGTTTTAGACTGTAAGCCGTAATCTGTTTCACTGATAAGTATTAGGTTCTTATAAGAAAACATTAGAATTTATGCATAGTTTAGTGGTTCGTTTCTACAACTGAAAAATATTTAGAACTCCAAACAACTTTCAACCAAAACCAAAATCAGGATTTTCAACAAGAATGTCAAAATAGTTCGACTGTATGGAGCGGAAACTTGGAGAACTACGAAAGGCATCATCCAGAAGATACAAGTGTTGATTAACAGTTGTCTTCGCAAAATACTTCGGATTCGTTGGCCAGATACTATCAGCAATATCCTAATGTGGGAGAGAAGAAACCAGATTCCAGTGGAGGAGAAAATCAAGGGAAGATGAGGTGAAGTAGATAGGACACGCATTGCGGAAAGCACCTAACTGTGTCACAATACAAGCCCTCATATGGAACCGTCAGGGTCAAACGAAAAGAGGAAAACCAAGGAACACATTATGCCGAGAAATAGAGAAAGATATGAGAGGAATGAACAAACATGTGACAGAACTAGAAAGGGAAGCCCTGGACAGAGTTGGTTGGAGAAAACTGATGGGTAGCCTATGCTCCATTCGGGGTAACAGGCGTAAGTAAGTAAATAAGTTAGTGGTTCGTGTTAAAATTCAATGTAGCGCTCACCAACTTAGTGGAATGCGAATTGAATCCAGTTTTTGGATGAATGATTGAGTGTGCGGTGAAAGAAATCTTCCTTTCTTATCTCGATATGACATACTAGGGCGAACCCCGTTTGTTCGACAACGGTAATAAGAAGGTAGATGCAGTTTCGCGGATGAATTTCTTTCATGCAGTCATTTAAACGGACAGACATAAGAGAATAAAATGCGTACAAGCAAAGTGAAGTGAATTGGAGAAAGTGAGTGATCCAACTCTCCAGCGTTGAAGTAGTCAGGCAATTATAGGCTAGAACTCGGTCTGTAGAACTTTCGAGGCTACTGCCGGTCCCAAGCTCCGATAAAGGAGGAGGGTTGGGCATGGTGTTGGCGATCCCATCCCACCAAAAAACTAAGTTGCCATAAAAACGCTGACCAGAAAAACTAAATCAAACCGTTTTAACTCTGCTCTGGGTGTTGGAAGAAGAATTATGACGTCTCGTGATTGACAACGAGAAAGCATTCGAAAGCATGGACAAAACAACACTATGGAGGCTTCCTTAACACTATGGCATGCCTGAGAACATAGTCAATATCATACGGAATTCTTATGATGGATTCAACTGCAAAATCGTGTACGCAGGACAGCTGACAGACTCGTTAGAGACGAAAACTGGTGTCAGGCAAGATAACTTACTCTCACTCATTCTTCTTCTCCTGATCATAGACTGGATTATGAAAACATCAACATCTGGAGGGAAGCACGGTATCAACTGGACAATTAGGACGCAGCTGGACGATCTGGAAAAAGCGAAATTCTCCGATGCAATACAACATGCACCAAGCAAATCACTCTTGATGGAGATGCCTTGGAGGACGTTAACACCTTTACATATCTGGGCAGCATCATCGACACTCAAGGTGGATCCGATGCAGATGTGAGGGCGCGGATTGGCAAAGCAAGGGCTGCATTTCAACAATTGAAAAATATCTGGAACTCCAAACAACTTTCAACCAAAACCAAAAATCAGGATTTTCACTACAAATGTCAAGACAGTTCTACTGAATGTAGTTGAAAATTGAAGAGCTGCCAAAGCCAATCATCCTATGCTGCATTCGAAGTAACAGACGAAAGTAAGTAAGTAAATATGTAAGTGATTATAGGCTAGACATGTTGTAATAAGCAAGTAAACTTTGTAAAAGAAATGTTCCATAATGCCAAACTGAATTTTCGACAACATATCAGAAACAGTTTTGATATCGTTAGGGTGTCGTCTGTTTATCAGATTGTAATTAAAACTGCAGACAAGAGATAAATAACTCAGTGTTTTATTATTTAAAACTTTCAAAGCATACAACCTTGAAAAGAGATCCTTTTCACAGGTGGACCAGAGAGGTACATTCTAGACATTTCTCGAAATTATTTATTTCGATAATAGATTTTAAACTATTAGTTACTCTTAATAATATATCAGTAAAGTTTAATGAAAACACCTCTAACACGCTAAAGATTAAAAGTCATTTAAAACACTCATTAACACACTTCAACCAATGAATTGTACATTGAACTAATGAATATTGTTTTAAAAGGCTAGGGTAAATATTTTTTGGTTAACCATGTTTAAATTAATCTCGTGTTTGAAAAAAAAGAGAATACTAATTCAAATATATATATATTTGAATGGAGAAATAAGAAGACATATTTTGTGAGATAGTACCATTTCGTGCTTTCTCGTCAGTCACATACAAGCAACATGTTATTTTGGTCGGGACAGTACCTCCACTTCACTAGTTTCTGCCCCATACAATATAAACGTTCTGTTGTCAAAAGTTCATTCGCTCGAGCAAGCAGAATCTGCACTGCTGATACATTGAACGACGAATTCAAGCTTATTACTGACACACTTAAATCAAACGGATATCCCGAAACGTTTATTGGTCATCAGAACACAACTACGACGAAACTGATAACAACTGATGTGCCCAAGAAACCAGTCTACCTACAGTTACCTTTCAAGGGTGATCATTGCATGAAAATTACAACCAAACACACTGCAGCTGCAATAAAAAAGACCTTCAATGCAGTTAATCTGAGGCTTATCACAACAACTCAATCGATCTCAGTCACTCCAATCAAGTCTCCAAGACCGATTCAGTCCAAATCCCACTGTATTTACCAATTCACATGTAACTGTGGAGAAAGTTACTTCGGGAGGACAGATCGCCGATTGGAAGACAGGATAGGTGAGCATATTCCAAAATGGCTAATCAAATCCATGATTCATCAACCTAGCCCATCATCACAAAATCGATCAAGAAACCCAGCATCGTCCACTGCAAAACATCTAACGATGAGTGGCCATCAAATTGACCCAAAATCAGCCTTTAGAGTTGTGTGACATGTCATCAAAACCCACACACACACACTGAAACTACTCGAAGCTATCTTGATTGGTCGGAAAAGTCCAACTTTATGTGTTCAAAAACAACTGTATGTTGATCTTTGTTTACTTAGCATGGTTCTAGTGAGTGAATGTCATGCTAAATAAGAAATTTTGACCTTATCTTCCAAACTGTATTTACAAAAATAACATGTTGCTTGTATGTATGTGACTGACGAGAAAGCACGAAATGGTACTTACTATCTCACAAAATATGTCTTCTTATTTCTCTATTCAAATTTATCAAAGGGAACCACTGTTTTGAATATACATATTTATATTAAAATTTATCTTGATTATTGAATAATTTCTAATTTTATTTCAAGTTTTTAAGGTTTCATAAATCAAGAAAAAAAGAAACTGAGATATCTATCATCACAATACACATTAGAGTTTTTGCTAAGCAACTGTACATTTTAAATTGAAATACTTTCTGACGACCTCAATATGACCTTAACATTAGTGGGTTCAAACAAACCAAAAAAAGGAGTTTGTTTTAAAATCAGATAAATATTTTTGGTATTGTTTTGGTTTTTTTTTAAAATAACGTTGGATAAAGTAAAAGTTTGTGATAGATAGATAGAAAGTTGAAAATAAAATTAAGATTTTGGAAATAATGCCTTATTTTAAAAAAAATATTATTAGGAAACAAAAAGTATATTTTAGTAAATTACATGTACCAGAATCTGTCGTAATTTGTTGAGCATCTCCAGGTTGTATTCCTTTTGATAATAACGAATGTGTCGACCACATGAGCTGGAGAACATCTACAATCGGATCAACAACGTCTTTGATGACATCAAATTCACGATGGAAAAGGAATCAAACAACAGCCTATCACTCCTGGATGTACTAATCACCATAACTAACACAGAAAAATTAGAAACTCAGGTATTTCGGAAGCCAACCCACACAGACGTAATTATCAACTAAGACAGCAACAACCCAACGAACCCACAAGATCAACTGCATACAAACTTTGTTCAAGATAGCGAAGACACACTGCAGCACATACGAAGCATTAAAAAAAAACGAGGAAAAACACCTGATGACTAACTTCCAAAAAAACGGCTATCTACGCAACTTCATCAAAAACCATCAACCGAAACCATCATCAGAAGCGAAATCAAGCACCGGAACAATCAAACGCATCATCCTGCCATACATCAAAGACATATCGGAGCATACAGCACGACTACTAAAACCATTTGGAATAGGTG